CTCCGAGGGAGGGGAGCAAACCCAAGGTCAGAAGGAATTTCATTCTGGTGACTGTTCAGATTCGAGATGAAAATAATAATGACAACGAACGTTTTGACCTGAGAAGAATAATGACTCTGGCGATAGGTTAGACAGAATCGATTTACACTTCCATTTCCTTCAGCTCAGCAGATGGTGAGAAGACACCAGATCACAGGAGGTTTTTATGGAGGACCAGAACGATGCTCCCTGCCCCGCCCCATGTTTTGGCTTTGTCTCCTGGGCAGAACACCACGCTGCCCTCCCCAGGGCGCACGGCCAGAAGGGCAGTGGAGGATAAGCTGTGTGTCTGCCCAGTTGCAGTGTTTCTGGAGGTAAGTGTGGATGAGGCAGCGTCAACTCCCACTAGTCAGAACTGACATCCCCAGTTTCTAATAAAACCCTTACACAGGAATCTGTTTTAGCTATAAATAATCTACTAATTTGTCAACTTTTCAAGCCCAGGTGTGGGGATGAACCATATGCTGGTGTTACTGTAACCACTTACCTTCACGTGGTGACATGGAGTCAGCCCCCCCGACTTACTCTCCAGAGTCACTTTCCCGCCTCACTCCCCCCCAAAACCCTGTGCTCCAGGCACACTGGCCATTATTCAAGCCTACTTCCTCAGCCCTGTTCCCTGCTGCCTGAGAGCCTTTGTATCTGCTGTTTTCTCCGCCTCGCACTCACTTCATTCCTCCCTTTGCTAGGTCTGCTCATTGTGTACATCTCAAGTCGAGCATGGCTGAGGTTGAAGCCTTCCCTGACCTCTTGGACCAAGTCAAATCTGTTTATAGGCTCTTAAACAGCACTGAGAAGCTGTCCATACGGCGCCCATCCTTGTTGCAATTTCCCATTTGTGTATTGTGATCTCTCAGCGCTGATGGGGCTTTACCCCTGTGTCCCCAGTACCTGACACATCACCTGGCACGTGACAGGCACTCGATAAGTAGTAGCCAAGGAAACGAGTACAAGTCACTACTCGTCCTTTTAGACCCTGAGTGCTTCTCCTTAGGGCTCTCCATAGCAGCTAACCATGTGGATGGACCCTCAGAAAACGCTGTGAAATAGTTACCAAGGGAGGGAGGCGGGAACCTGCGTTTTGTTGAGTGCTTACGTGTGTCAGGCACCCAGCAAAGGCGTTCCCTTGTAATGCGCACAGCAGTTGTGAAATGAATTATCCTCATTCTGTGGGTACATATTCCTCGTGTACATGAGGCAGTAGGTTCAGATGAAGTAACTTGCCCAAGGCCAGCAATTCCCAAGCAACTGGGTTGGAATCCCAGTCCTCCCTCCGGACTTGACACCACCCAGCACCTGCCTGTTGTCAAACCAAGGCAGCTAACAGACAAGGCTCTCACCTCCTACAGATTCACATCAGCATGTCTTTAGTGAAAATGACTCAGGTACAAGAAAATGAAACGAGAGGATGGGCCCTTGGTAGACAAATAGTGATTGAGCCAGAAGGTAGCTCGGACCAAAAGCACTCAGAGTAGTAAGAAGCCTGGACTCTGAGTTAGAGGGACCCGGGTTCGGATCCTCACTCAGCCACTTCCTGGCCTTGCTGCACTGAGCATTCATTTCCTCATCTGGTAAAGTGAGGACAATAGTGCCTATTTCACATGGGGCCCTTGAGGGTTCCATGAAACAACATAAATATTTAGCATCGCCTGGCATAGAACACATAGTAAAGAGGAACTAATTGTACTTAAACCTTGTTAATTATTGGTTAAACAAGGCCAGACAGACAGAGACTCAGAATTTAAAGTAAGACTTTGTCATTTATCAAAGACACATTGAAAAAAGGAGACAGTAAAACTGACCAGCCAGTAGCAGGGCACCCATAACACTCCAACAGCTTAACACATCAAAATTACAGGCTTGTTTATACACGAATGCAACCGAGGCCCCGCACCTTCCAGGAGCCCCCTTAAGGAGAAGGGACCTCATGATGTGCACAGAAGACACGACCCGGCAGGGGGCCAGTCATCTTGGGAACAGGGGACATGTAACTTCAGCGAGCTGGGACCCAGCCACAGGCAGGGTTACAGGGCCAGCTCCCAGCTGTGACCAGAGCGAGATCCAGGCTCATGGACTGTCTGGAGAGCTACAATTTGCCAGAGAGAGCTTGGGGTGGACAGTGTTGTAGAAGCCTGATCCTGCAAAGTGGGGAACACAGTGGGCTGGAGAACTCAGGCCCAGGGATCCCAGGGCAGAAGCCTCCTAAGCAGAACAGGTGCTGGATAGTAGGCAGAAGGATATCAATGGATTTTCAGCCAGGGGTCTGGTACCACTTTCCAAGTCAGTCTCATCAGGAGGGGTGATGGGGCCAAGGCTACTGGAGCATAGACTGGAACTGACTGCACAGGACTCAGGAAGCCCAGCTCGGGGGGCCGGAAGAAGAAGGAGCCGGGAAGGGTGGGGGCCCCCAACATCCTCTGGGGATGTCTTTTTCTGCCTGAGGAGATGGCACCTATTTTTATAATTTTCCTGGAAATTATTGCTGAGATGGGGCTCAACTCCACTAACAGAGAAAGGCTTGGGAAAAGATAACTGCTGTGAGGGAGGCATTGGCCTGTTGACCACAGAGCATCTTAGAAGAGAAGTGGCTTCAGTGTCACAGCTCACCCTGCTCGATATGGGAAATGGCCTCCATGTTCCTTCGAATGCCGTTATCTTTTCACATGTTGACATCTGGCATCTTGTAAACATCATACAAACAAGCTATTGATATTTTTTTGTGGAAAGGCCCATCATTTGAGGAGATGAACTTCTAAACATCTTGGTTGAAGAGTTCTCCAATAAAAAGTAGCCTGGGTTTGGGGTCTGTAATGATTTTGTGATGAATAGACTATGCATTAATAATACTTTTCTTTCTATAATGCAAATGCTGGTAAAGTTAGGTTAAGATACACATATTCCATTAATCATGAAGACTGATAGAAAAAGAGGGCCCCCCAGACCTGTTGAGAATAAAGGAAGGACTCATTAAAAAACACTGAGCTCAGGCTTTACCAGTATAATACTATCTTTAAATACCCAGAAGTGATTAATTCATTAGTGATCAGAGTGAGTCAGATATGTATAATATATATTCTATTTTTAGCACTCAGATAACGTCAATGTATTACAAGAGTTTATTTGCTCATCAAAGTCTTTGTTAGCTTGCATATAATTAATGTGAATTTCCAGCACATGTTTTACTTCCACACTGCTATTTAAATTTTTTAGGCCATGTTTGTTTACTGAACTACCAAATGCTGTAATAAACTATCGTTACAGTCTTTGCCTTAATTGGGAGAAGAAAAATAGGAATTCTGAAGAAGACATTCTTTCTAGCAGCTAGCCAAATGAAACGTGTATAACAAAAGTGATCTATGCTAGATTTAGAAGAATTCTAATTTTACAATAATGTGTCATCAATGTCTGCCTCATAAACATTAGACCACACAGTTCCTATCAATAATGAGCGAGTTGGTTTAAGGTGCTCATTAATCCAAGTGATTTTTTTTTACATTTTATTACCCATGTGTGTGCTGGTTCTGGCTGGTCCAGTGTTTGAAGTTTGGCANGTACCACATTTTCTGTATCCGTTCGTCTGTTGGTGGACATTTGGGTTGTCTCCGCCTTTTGGCTGTTGTGAATAATGCACCGTGAACACGGATGTGCAAGCGCTTGAGTCCCAGCTTCCACTTCTTTTGGGTGGACGCCCAGACGTGGAGATGCTGGATCATACAGTAATTCTGCGTTCAACTTTCTGAGGAACCGCCAGACTGGCCAAAAGTGGCCGCAGCCGTTTACTTTCTGCCCAGCAGTGCATAGGGGGCCGTGTCTCCACATCCTCGCCAACACGTGTTCTTTTCAGTTTGTTTGTTGTGAATTATAGCCGCCCTGATAGGTATGAGGCTCACACATGGTGTTAGGCACCGGAAACCCCCGACTTCAGGGATCAGTGTGGCTTTGGGGAAAATCTACTTGGTGCAACTTGTGGCAAAAGAAAGGGGTGTATTGGTATCAGTTATCCAGACAGTAAAATCAGAATGTGGAAAGAAGGGGGAGCCATGGAGGACACTGCACATTGACAAGACCTTGAGACGGAGAGTCACCAGGGAGAGGAAGTGGGCTTTCGAGGTGGGTGAGAGGTCACTGCAGAGGAGGAAGAAGGGAAAAGGGAGAGAGGGAAGCACATGGAAGGAGAAAAGGAGCAGCTGGTGGAATTCACTGAACTCACACAAACCGTGCCCGGAACGCCCGGTCCCGCTGAAGGGAGAAAAGGCCAGGCTGACGGCGCAGGGCGAGTGCAGGAAACACGAGCGTGCACCAGGCCCTAGAGAGGGAAGAACAGGCTACAGGCGACACAGCTGAGAAGAAATAATCGCTGTTACAAGCCCCACAGAGCTGTCTCCCTGGCGGAAGCGTGACCGCTGGGGACCCGGAGGACAGCCCAGCAAGGGCAGGCATCGTCATGAAACCAGAAGGAGCCATGGCTGGCGTGGTGTACAGCCAACTGCAGAGCCCTGTTGGGCTCCATGCTCTATCTGGGCTTTGTGGTTTATAGTGCCTGGAGGAGTGTCTAAGAGGA